GCATTAGCAAAATGCAGCTACGGCAGCGAGGCTAATTTGATGATGTCACTCATCCGTCTTCCTACAGGAGCGTCATCGTGTCAGGTGATCATCATCCCAGCCAACACCTTCAAAGTCCTGCCCTGCAAACTGCGTTCTAATCTGGCCAAGAGGAAGTGGAAGTTTAGCGACAGCGCCGGTCACTTCCATTACCCCAGTCCAGAGGGGGGGCTGGTGGTAGTAGCTCAGGCTGACCGCCAGGAGACGTACGAGTGCTGGTCGGTGGAGGAAGGCTTCAGGCAGCTGCTGGCGAACTACTGTGTGAGGGGTGAGGCCAAGCAGGAGAGCACCACCCTCACTGGACGCTCACGGACGCCGCACATCAGCCAGGAGGAGTTCATCATCCTCCCGGGAAAGGCCCGTCTGCCACAGATGAACACCAAGACCTACTGGAACGAGCTGATCGTGGTCTGCTCCCTGCTGGTCTTCTCCCTGCTGGTCTTCTCGCTCTTCGTGGTCTACAGGAACCGCAGTCACATGAAGTCCATGCTGAAGGAGGGCGAGTGCGCCAACGTGCAGCAGAAGATGCCCAAAATGGTGGGGAAACCAGTGGAGAACCTGCCACTCAACGGCAACGCCGTCACCACGTCTGCGTCCGACCACAAGGGCTACCAGACCCTCAACGACAACTACATCTGCAGCACCCCCCCACACGAGTGCTCGTCGCCTGACAACAGCAAGAGCTTCTCCGAGTCAGAGAAGAGGCCTCTGAACGTCAAAGAGAGCCACGTGGAGATTTCTCCCACGTGCCCACGGCCTCGGGTCAGACTGGGCTCTGAGATCAAAGACTCGATAGTGTGAGGAATTCACACGATCACGTGGAGTGACTGACTTCTGAAGTAAAAATGTTACAGGATGCACTGAGAAGACAGAAAATTATACTCAGAGAGGAGAAGAGACGATTTTCATCACACAGGATTTGCACTTTGTCTTTTTTTTTGGTCGTTTTGTCCCTGTGGTCCATGAACATTTCATCGTATCGTTTCTTCATTCAGGTGAAGACGCAGTCGCCCTGAAGACGTTTGCTTTCAGACCTTTTGTGCTTTTAGAAAAGACCGATGGGAATGTGGTGCTGAGGATAAACTACAGCGTGTTTTGTCCGATTTTACCCGTGATTTCCAGTCTGCACCAGTTGGTGACACTTGTCACAAAATCTGTTGACACGGTGGAAAGAAGCGAATCCGCAAATTTGTGAGGGGAACTGCCCCGACTTGACCTGACCTGGGTCGGAGTGAATCAAACAAGTTTGAATTTTTGAGCCAAATCTGATGAACCGATTATTTACCCGACTGCAAACGTGTGCTGCCTTTGGCCAATGGAAAGAAACTGGGAACTGGCAACTGAAGTGAGAGCGAAAAAATCACAAAATAATGATTGCGAATTGCGAGAAGGATGTGACAAAGCGAAGCTCGACCACATTGCGAGGAGGATGTGACAAAGCGAAGCTCGACCACAAAAGTCGAGGGAAGATTGACGAGTTGAAACGACGTGCCTACTGTGTTCAGTGTTGGTTGAAGTGCAGACTTCGAGAGTCTCTGATTTGACAAATTATTTAGCCTGCGCTGCCCTCGACAGACCCACTTGTCTGGTGTTCGATCCCCGGTCTTTTCACAGAACGTCTGGTAAAACCACTCAGTTGGCTTTAAGTTCTGTACTGTGTCGCCACCTTCAGGTGTGTGATGGAAGCATTTGGACCAGCCTTCAGTGACTGATCTTCACAGCCTTACCACTCAAGTCCACTCCTTCAGTTTCATGAAAAACCCACACAAACTATAGAAGGAGAAATCCTCCCATTTGCAGATGACGCCATGTTTTATTTGATGATCACTCTCGGTCACCTGGTAAAAACCTGCACCAGGCCATGAGTGCAGAAAATACTGAAATGTCGGTGTGCGATATTTGGGGGTAACAAGGCTGTCACTCTAACGTCAAAATCAAATTGTCAAAATTATTTAAAATTAGGCATAGAAGTAGAGGAAATGGAGCAAATCATGTCAAAGTTGACAGGATTTTAATATTTCTATTGTCACTTAAAGCTGCAGTACACAGGATTCCTCTACAGGAGGCTCACTTTGTCAGGAACCAAACCAAGGCAGATTTAGAAAACTTTGTGTATTTGTTTTTGTTGGTTTTAAAAACCAACAAAAACAAATACTTTTTGTTTTTATTTAAGGAGTTTTGAAACTTGATTTTGGTAAGAAAAAAAAACTGACAGCCTTTGAAACACCTGAAGTACGTGCACCTTCATTTAGACTGAAAAAAACAAATACGTAAAAAAAAGTACTGCACTGGGAGTTTCG